CCTCAATATTATGCTTAAAGCCTTTTGGTACATCAACAATTGTAAAATAATAAAGGAGACTAAAGACAAGATAGTCTAAGTGGAAAAAAAATAAAATACAAAACTATTTCTATCTTAGCATCTAATAATTAGATTTTTATGATTTTGAATTTGTTAGAATTCTCTAATAAGAAGATTATTTTGATAGTTAAATTATTCAAATTAGTCTAGTAGATCAAAAGTTATTTAATATTAAATATTATATATAATTTTAATTATAAGTTTAATAAATGTGAAATCTGATTGGTTATTAGATGAGAGTAGGGGTGGGTTTGAACAATTTATTAGTAAACTCTAATCAGCTAATTTCTAAAAACCTCCTAATATAAGTTTAAAAATTTAAAAAATTAAATGTAGTTTTTAATATAAAATTTATAAGTAAAATTTGCTAATAAAAAGACTAAAAATAACCAATTTTCAAAAAATTTTAAAAAATTTAAAAAACTATTTAAAGCTATGATATTTTTTATACATATATACAATTTACCTAAATATATTATAAAAATATTTTAATAGTTTTTTTAATATTAAAATTAGTCAATAATTAGCCTTAAATAGTGTTACTATTGAGTACAAAGTACTACTGGTAGTACGCCTAAATCCTATCTATTAATTAAATAGCTATTAAAATATTTTTTTTAAATTTTATAATCAAAAAAAAATTAAACTAATTAATATAATATAAATAGTAAAATTAATAATATAAAAAGCAATACTCTAAATATAATATATATTTATATAAAATACTTATAAAAACTAAATTTTAACTTATTTATAATAATTTTTTAATATAATTACTTTTTAACTTTTAACAAAAATTTTTTTGTATAACTTTATTTTGGTTTAATTTTTAAATTTGATAATTAATTAATTTATTATTAATTTAATAATTTTATTAATAATACAACATACCATATTAAACGTTACAAATATAATTTAATATTGTATATATTAAAAAGTTTAATTATATCTTGTTTTAACTTTAGTTTTGTTATTTTAACAATACAGTATTTTTTTATCTTAAAATTGCAAATTATAATTATTAATTTGAAGCCTGATTAAGTTTAAATATAAATAACCAAGACTTACTAAATTTCAAACTATCGGATTTTGGCAAAAAAAAAAAAAAAACTTGGTGGTTTGAGTGAATAAACTAAACAACATGTGACAGCGCTCGAGCCCTTTTAAATCTTCCGGAAGTTGTACAAAGCATAAAAAATAGGTGGTTGTGAAACTGCGGTCATCATATATAAAAATCGAAACTGCATTGCCTCCTCCATGGATGTTCGTTTAATTTCACTTAAATTATACATATACAAATATATACACATTTTGGTGATCGATAATAATATCATTGTTTTATTGTTTTGATTATCATTATGGACTTGCGCATTGTTATAAAACATGTCTGCCATTTTTTGCTGCGATCGATCTAAATTGAAAATTAAATTATTTGTTATCAACTGTTTATAATCATAAATTCATTTATTGTCTTTACAGCTCCGATGTTAATTTCACACATCACAAACCTTTATATTGTCACCTAAACCTTAAAGCTTAGTCACCCATTAGTAGATTGTGTAATCGCAAATGTCGCAATTTTTCAATTTATCCATAAAAAAGCCTACTTGTACGCGCTATTCCTTTTTAGTAAGATGCGGTCACACCGTGGTATTACCGTATGGTAACCTACAATTGATACCCATATCCGTCCAAATCGACAGAAAAAATGGGTCGTGTAAGGAAAGACAGTGTTCATGACTCTTCCTTTGCGAACAACAAACCCGCAAAATTGTCGACGAAGAAACTAACAACTAATAACCTTTGTACGAAATGTAAAAAAGAAGAAAGTAAGTTCTGAAATACCTTTCCATGTTGCAAGTTGGTCGTTTGTTTTTCATGCTTTAGGTAGCAGTTGCTAACTCGCTTTCTAGGAAGACAAAATGACACTTGCACAATTTGCAACCTACCTTCGTTCTCACTTCCTAAGCTCCAAAAAATTTCTAACGTCCAAATTACTACGTTTGCTTATTTAATACAGGCGTTGATGGACGGTGGATACAATGCGACAGTTGTTCAAAGTGGTACCATACAGCGTGTGTTAGAATTCAACTAGACGATAATGGTGAATTTTCTGGAGACTATTACTGTCTACAATGTAAAGAATTAGACATATTAGAGCATTCGTCTAGGTAAGTAATGAATATAATTTTTTATTTATTGTGCTTTAATGTCTTTTTTGTTCCCTTTTTTTTTTTTTTGTCTTGCCCAAGTCACTGAATGAGTTGACGTCATACGGCAAAATTCGTCTATTAAAAATGTGCTAATTCCTCACCACATATATTTCTTTAACAGCGAAAAAGAATATACCCCAAATAGAAAACTCTCAATTTCCTCTGCATCGTCTTCACGCAGCAGTGGTTCTACGTCACACAAAAAATTAAAAAGTAATAATGGAACATCACATATACCATCTCCAGAACCATATATTTTGGATAACGGTACAAATTCAACGACAGAAGCGGAACATGACAACAATAACCATAGTCCGCATGGTGTTCAAGGTAAGATGTGAAACTTAAAGGGTTAAGAGGTACAATTGTAGAATCTTAAAAAACACAAATATTGATGGTCAATACAACATAGGGTTTAAGGACCGGATGCAATATTTGTGTAATATTATCGAAGTTGTAGGTGTTGAATACAACTGATAACGTTGATTGTAAAAAGGTTAGAAATAATAATACCACAGAAAAGGATGTCCGTACATACGAGGCTCATTCAATTATTTCTTGACACAACTTTCATCACAATATTTTAACTTATGTTAATTTTCGATAAATAATTTCTTTATAGGTTTACAAACTCAATCAAAACCAACTTGCAAATTACAAAAGATTACTTCACCGACAAAGCGTTCCAATAGTCAAGGTAACAATGAGGTTGAACGTCAAGAAACGGTATCAATCACAACTTCTACCGTGAGTGTTTCGGAAACCACATTATTTCATCCTTATAACTTTCCAAATCCTATTTCATATAACCGAGCACTTCTTCGGGTAGCTCAAATTCGTGAGTTTATCTTGACTCATTGTCCTGCAGCGACAAGAGTGGAAAGTATTGATGGGGCGGAAAATAGCAACAACCGGCCCGTATCATTAAAGTTAGCTGAGGAGCTATGGAAGAAAATGGAAAGGTTGGAAAAAACACACGATAGGCGAAAATATAACAAACAATGATTATATGGTTAGGTGATTTGGGAACGAACATTTATTTTATTTTATTTTATTTTATTTTTTTTTTCCTGGTGTATTTGATCTTAGCGTTTAATTCAATGAAAATGAAGATCAAAGTTGGCGTGCTTTTTTTCTATAGAGATGGTGTGTATTCGGTGTATATAGGTGTTACCGTGTATTTTCTTGAATTTTACAGTATCTTCGTTTTATTTGTCAGCGTTTCTTTGACTCCAGATTTATTTTCATTTTGCTTAAGGCAAAAAAACAAAAAAAAAAGTAAAATGTTAAAAAAGAATGTTATAAGGAACGAACAAAATCTGTAAATTTTTTTTAAAAAAAAAAACTGTTTAAAATGAATAAATGACTTGTTATAAAAAAATCATGCAACCTTTAACTGGACTAGACGCGACGGAACGTCGTTATGAGTTTAGTGTAACTTTTATTATGACTTTAATTGGTTGAACGTATCTTTATATATCAGATATCAAAAAATTATGAATATCCTCTGCTAATCATAATGTCAAATTCGAGACTCTTAAAACCTGATACACATAAATATTACCTTATCGATAATGACGATGTGGTGAATGAAAATGATATTTCAAGTCAACAGGAAGCTTTAATAAGCATTCCTCCTCCTAAGGACAAATATCAAATTGTTTATTATATTTTTTTTCTTCAAG